TAATGCTATATGTATAGGATTATTGTCTATTTTACACCAAATTGGACCTTCATTTGCAAAAATGAGTATTATACTGTTTTACCTAAGATTTGAAATTAGCTCAACTTTGAAAGAGCATAAGGTCGTCATTGGAGTGTTTTTACTAAGATCATAAATCACTTTAGAAGAGAATAATTTTCCCATAGACTTTAGTTAGAAAAGTCTCCCCTGGCCACTGGAAGGAATGTAAGTTTCAAGCAATTACACGTTGCTGAATGCCATGTGCGTTGTTTATATGTGGAACTTGTTTGTATTAGAACTTGGAAAAGCCTAAATTTCTCACGTTTGAAAACATAAAATTATTCTCTGTTTGCCTTTTTTTGTTTCAAAAGTACTGAAATCAAACAAATGTGTTAATTTTCTTTTGTTGCAATTCTTGCACTTGATCCTGGCTATGCTAAATGTCCACCATCATTGGGTGCTAAAGTTGTTTGGGTGCTGGAGCTGATGGCTTTCATACTTGAGTAGAAGAATAAGTGCTGAAGGCTTCACACACGCGCGATTAGCATCACTAAAATGATTTTGGAGTTGAGTGAAATTCAGAGGGTAATTTGGTTTTCTTTCCCCATCAGGCTACAATGAAAATCTGGCAGAGGTGATGGGATTACAATCACTGAAGCCACAGATAATCATTTCAATTAGAGGACTCTCTCAAGGAAAACTCAGCCCGGTAGTGGAGCGCTTATATGTATCCATAAAATAAATCATTTTTATGTACCCGTAATAGGCTTACACTATGAAATGTGAGAGCACGGCTCAACCACTTTCTTCTCTATATAGACCGTCTCTGCTCAGCTAACCTTTCTTTCCCTTTGATGCGGCTGAATAAAGGAAGGAGAAAGAAAACAAAATGATTTGCCTTCATCTCTAAATCCTTGCTGGACTCTTGTTTAAAACCTCTTCTCCCTCTCTACAGGTCGGCTTCTTGAAGACACAGCACCGGTATGAAATAGTGTTCACCCTGCCTGAGATCCCAGCTCTGGGTAAAAATGTGTGTCCAGCGCCGCTACCCGGTCCACACCTCCGGATCACTGATATCACACCGGCACAAGAGGGTGAGGTCACGAGCGATGGAAAAACAAAAAACAGTTTTCCATTAAAATTGTGAAAAGTAATAATAATGTAAATTTGTAATTACGTTCAAATGATCAATGCCTGTCTGTGTCGCATCTTTTGACTGATGACTTTGAGCTAAACTAGGTCACTGGTTTGGGATTTGTCCATCATGATCAGTGTTATGTAACACGTTAGCTTAATGATTACTGAAAAAGTCAAAAATGGGAAAATCATTTTTCATGTAGTGCAGTCTTTATGTCAGATGTGTTTATTTTAGATTCGCTTTAAGTAATAAAACCAAATCAGTAGTAACAGATTAGTGAATATAGCATAAGGACTGCACAACAGGCTGGCCTAAAGTCTAATATGTTAGTACCAATGCTGTGGTTTTATACTCCTATTGCTTTTAAAACCATAATATCATCTTCTTTTTCTTTGTTTGGCTGATCCCTTTAGGAGTCGTATGATGCCCTGTTAGCCTGTGCGCTGCTATACAAAGCTTTGTAGCCTCTCCAGAGTACATCGCACAAGGTTTACATTGTGTTGTCTGTTTTTGGAGGACTGCAGGCGAGTGTACCTCTGTAGCCTCTGCATTGGTTGAACTCCCATGATCCCTCTCTCTGAGAGCTAACAGAGACAAAAGCAGGAGCATAAATCCGGCTTTAGTCAGTGACCAGACTCTGTAATATTGTCAGACTTACCGGCGTTTAATAAGCAGATGCTAAGAAGAAAAAACCATAATAACAACACAGAGTAGCGTTACTAGAATGATCTGCATGCAGGCTGCTATTGACGTTAGTTGTACCTTTATCATTATTCTAACTACAAAATGTGTTGCAATAAAAACAGAGGCTTGGCTACAGAAGAAATGTTTGTAGATTAGATGAGTTATCATACGTTCTGTAATTTGGGAGCAGAGCAGTTACTACAGTTGCAATAATCTCAATTAAATGGAGGAAATGTCTTCCACTAACAGCTCACATGTATGTTGCCCGAGAGGTGAAATACAGGGTAAAAACTCAATTAAATGCTTATCTAAAGCTGTGAGATAAGCTGGTACATGTTGATAGTTATTTTGTTAAACTAATCAGCTGCCATCCTTCAGCCCTCACTTTCAGTGACACGAAGCCCTGTTCTTTCCCAGTCAGTATATGTAAAACAAGCTGCATTTGCAGTTTACAGTCATTAGTTTCCTGTTTAAACTGTGAGTCAGGCAGACCTTTTGTGGTATAAAGGTCATTGGTACTGTGTTTACAATACATTTGGGTCATTTTATATCAAAATCTCATTTAAAAAAAAAAGTTCCCAACTGAACACCTCAGACTATGATCATATTAGAAAACTGCTTTGAGGAATCATGGCTAGAAGATGTCCTGATATCAAAATGTAGGGAAAAATGAGACATTTCATATTCTGTAACACGTTTTCACTGACCAACTATCTCACCTAACTCCAGTGAATGATCACAAGACAGATAAACCATCCAGAGCACCAATGCTGAGGTTTTATACTCTTTGTTGTCATAGACATTAAATTGCTAGTAACACCATGCTTCTTCTTCTTCTTCGGCCGATTCCTTTTAGGGAATTGCCACAGTGGATCATCTTCCTCCACCTCACCTTGTCAACACCAACCCTCTGCATGTCCTTCACTACATCCAGGAACCACAACTGTTGTCTTCCTTTCTTCCTGCCTGCCTGCTCCATCTTCAACACCCTTTGTCCGATATATCCTCTGTCTCTGCTCTGCACATATGCAAACATCTCAGTCTTGTCGCTCTAACTTTGCCACCAAACTGCCTGAGCCATCCCTCTGATGCACTCATTTCTAATCTTGTCCATTCTTGTCACTCCCAGTGAAAATCTTACATCTGCTTTCTGCCACCTCCACCTCGGCTAATGTTGATCTGCAAAATGATCCACTGTGCAGTTCCAACTGGAAATCGACTGATTGGCAACAGCATTAAAAAACAGATTATAATTCATCGTAACTCAACATTATTGACGCAGTGTGTTGACAGAGAACATAATAAAAGGCAGAAACATCCAAAAAAGGGCTTTGACTGTCCTTCACGAACCCTCAAGAACTATTCCAACTTGAAGACATTACAAGAAAGCTGCCTCAGAGAGTTCGGACTGTGTTGAAGGATAGTGGCAGTCATATTTTTCGAAAGCATAGCTAAGCTAAAAAGTAAGTAACTCGGCAGCACAGTCACAGGCTGCAGAGTTCCAGATGGCTGAGGATTACAGCAGCAGACAGTTCAGCTCATGTCAGCACAGAGATCCTTCTTTGAAAAAAAAAAAAAAAAATCATAGGAACAGATCTGACTTTCAGACGCTTTCCTGTGTTTCTCTGTGTTCCTGCCGCCCGTCATGCCGCAATAGTCGGTAAACCCTAAACATCTGCCACCTGTGTGGGCTAAAAAAAGACATTTTTTAACTGCTAGCATGAACGTGAGCTTCTCCTGGCCAACAAAACAGCTGAAATGGGTCAGAGGTTTCTGGGAGTCATGCCGACTGCATGCCTGTAATTGAAGCAGGTTACTGACCTTTACTTTCAGTTTATCGTCACACCCTTTATATTACTCTCAGCCTGATTATGTTAACAGGTGTGCTACTATGTTTGTCTTGTGTGTGTGTGTGTGTATGTATATATTCATGTGCTTATCAGTCAGTTGTGTTTGTTTTTTTTCCATCCTGTTGACATTTTGTTCTGGATTGTCTGACACTCGAATTATCCTTATGAAAAACATCTCACGCAGAGACGATAAAGTAGAGATGTGCGTGCGTTAGTAAAACGTGCCAATAAAGAGGAAACTTACTCTCTTTTCTGTCTTTGTTGCTATTTTTTTGTCCTGCATGTCTCTCCAGGAGGTCTGAAGATAACGTGCGAGTACATAACCCAGCACGAGGGAGTTCTGTGTGAGGAGGTGAGGCTGCTGAGCGAGACCAACGACGACGTCTGCGTCAGAGTTAAAGTTCACGCCAGAGTCATGGGTAAGGTTGTGTTTAACAACATATATGTGATAATATAATCTTGTCTGCTTCTTCTGTATAAATAGTTACAAATACACCACATTGTATCCTATAAAAGACCTTTTTCTTTTTTTATAGCTGAGGCATTGTGTAGTTGATTGATTTTTCAGTCATTACCATACGACTACCTATGCCCGTGAGACTTTCTATTATAAAACCATTAATCATTTGGGAACTTATTAAACTGAAATGACTGGAAGGCTTCCATAGATTAGTTGCTAAGGCTCATGAAACCTCGAAGGAAGGCCAAAGACGATTTACCTCATTAAGTGTAGAGGACAAACTGACCAGGAGCCATTTGGTTTAGTTTTTATCACTTAATTTGATTAATAAAATTTCATAAACTTGTGGAAACAAATCATACATTTTCCACAGGTTTTCTAAAATCTGAAGTGGTTCTTAAAAGTGTTTTTTTTTGTTTGTTTGTTCCTCCATGTCTTCTTACATGAGGTAAAATACATAAATACCTGATTAACTTATTGATAAATGATTTATTTGATAATTAATATATAATTGGTAGTTCTCCCAGACTGTTAAATGACCTATAAAGTTAAATGATCAAACTACATAACATCAGAATTTGCCCTCACTGACCGCTTCATTGAGTACACCTGTTCAAGGACGCATCAATGAAAGCGCCTACTCAGCGAGTCACATTGCAGCAGCTCGATGCTTTTATCCATGTAGACATGACCTTTGGGATGTGGTGGAACAGGAGATTCACATCATGGATGTGCGGCAGCTGTGTGACGCTGTCATGTCAACATGGACCAAAATCTCGGAGGAATGTTTCCGGCACTTTGTTGAATCATGAAGAATTAAAGCAATGTTGAAGGTAAAAAGAGGGCCAACGCGGTTCTAGTAAGGTGTACCTAATAAAGTGTCCTGTGAGTGTATTTTCATTATATTTTACTTTTTAATTTATAAATGATCAGTCATTTCTTCTTTGGTTTTAAAGGGAGAACTAACAGATAATCCCAAAGGTCGCTTGTTTCTGGTGTGCTGCTGCCACCTGCTGGTTACTTTGAATTTTTGGGTCTGAATAACTTTTAAAACAACAACCAAAGTAAGTCACAATGAACCACTAAAAAAGAAAGGCTAAATTTTTTTGTGGTCAAATTTTTTTAAAATAATAAAAACAAAAATGTTCAGAAATACTAACCGAAAAATCATTTTAAAAAGTCCCCTTTTCTGTGGTGAGGGATACGACAGAAACAATATGGCTCTTGTAATCCATAAATCTTTTGTTCTGCTCTGTCCTGCTGCGCGGAGGCTGTAATAATAAATTTGCATCCTCCTCTTCAATCCATGTCAGTGAGACTGAATTAGTCTGTGGCGTTTCTCTCAGCAGATGGAGAATTAGTTAAAGAATTAGTTAAAGGGGGTGCGCAGTGTGTTTTTCCATCTGTGTCTGTGTAAATATAGCAGAACGTGGTGTGTGTGTGTGTGTGTGTGTGTGTGTGTGTGTGTGTGTGTGTGTGTGTGTGTGTGCGTGTGTGGTACTTGCGTAGTTGAGGATGAATGATGGCTGTGTTGTTTAGTGTTTATTTTTATCCTCATAATGTGGCCTGAACATCTGTTCAGATGTTTGTGTGTAACTGAGTCCTGGATGAAAACCAGATCAATGGATTAAACTCTACGTCAGCTGTACCGCTCACATCAGATCAGTGACGGAGTATAATACAACTCAGCTGCAGGCTGAGCCTTTAGTCTTGTATAAATACACATGGTTGTTATCCGATGTATAGTTAATTATTATATATCCAGTGAGGCTGATAGGAAGCGTCCTAATGGTAGTTTTTAGTTAGTTATTAAAATGTAAAAAGTGATTTTATCTTGTAGGGAAACTGTAATAGACATTCCCAATATTTTAATCTAATTTGATGAAAGCTTGAACTGCTAGTTATTTTTATGTTCATCTATTCTTAAGGTGGTCGTTTGTTGGAGCCCATATAAGTTATTTCTTAATACCTTAAAAGAACGGTGTATCCAAAACAGTATGGTAAAAAGAATCACCTGATGTCAAAGTGCTTTAAGTCTTTAGCCACTCACCGGTGACGATCAAAACATGTACTGTTAGAAAGCAGATTAGTGAGTTTCACATGTTGCAAGTAGGTAAGATAACAATAGGAGTGGCTGCAGACAAGCTCGCAAACGTGTGGGAGTAGTTTGATCTGGGACTCTCCACCATTTGACCCTTTGAACTGAAGAAGCTTCTCGGATGAGAGGTGAAACGTCTTCAAGCAACTTAAAGAAGTCCAGACGCTTTTCTTTCCAAGGTCCTTAGACTATGATGGCCTGGATGAGTAGTTTAGTTATTTCATGGACATATATCGTGTGTCCAGAGGGGAAGGGGATGTGTTATTTGTGAAAATTTTAAGCTTTATAACTGTACATTCAGCTGTGTATTTTAAAGTCTACGACAGACTTCTGGCAGTAATTTTGGCAGCATTAGGGCTGGGAAAAAAAAAAAAAAAGAATTTGCATTGGCCGGGAATCGAACCCGGGCCTCCCGCGTGGCAGGCGAGAATTCTACCACTGAACCACCAATGCGTTGCTGCATGTGTATCCTGCAGTCACGAAAAAAAGCATGCGCCTGCTGCTGCAGGGTGGGGGGAGGGACTGTGGAGAAGTAGAGTAGATGCCTCAGGGGAGAAGGAGGAGGGGGGTGAGTGAGGGGGCCGCCTCTCTTAAAGGAGCCGCTCGGTCTGTGTCTCTCACACCGTGTGCACATCGTGGATTATATACATGAGTTTGAGACCGATGCCTGAGCTTTTTAAAGCCAAATGCTCACAGGTCATGTTTCCACTTCTAAATGCTCTACAACAAGACTTAAAGGAAGGAAAATATGTCACTCTCTTTTTTGCCTCTGTTTGCTCAAATACTTTGATGTTGTGAAACACTGTTCATAATGTGCAAAGGTGTGGCTGGAATAGGCTGACGATGTTTTATTGTTATTGCACCAGAACATGCCATCAAAGGTTATTGTCAGATTGTAATGTAGCTCCAAATAACTGACTCCTGTCAGACATTTCCAGTGCCTGACTTTCAGTGGCTGTGTCTAGCTGAAGGGTTTCAAATTGATTTAGTTCATGGACCACATTCGATTCAGTTCTGTTTTATTTAAACAGCACCAATTCACAGTGACAATCACTTCAAGGCACTTTATATTTTAAGGTACAGACACTACAGTATTAGAGAGGAAACCCCAGCAATCACACAGTCCTGTATGAGGGAGCACTTGGCAATAGTGGGAAGGGAGAACTCCCTTTAAACAGGAAGAGATATCAGAAAGAAAAAGTTATAGATATCCAATGTTTCTTTAATTTGAGCGAGAAATAAAATTTGTTACTTTTAGGTCATTCAGGCTTCGTGCTGGGACAGCCACTCTCATAACGCCATCCACTCTAAACTAACAGCACAAGGCTTCCTGGTACTAGAACGTCCAGAAATTCGGACTTGTTTCTCTGCAGATTTTAGACTCTGCAGCCATCTAGTGGCCGGATATCGACTCTTATGCTCAATCACAAAGAGCCGCCTCCACGTCTAAAAGCCTTAAAGTTCATATTTAAAATTTGTAGTTTTTATGTGCAGACCAGTTTCATGCCTGAACACTGGGCCATATAGTACTACATGATCAAAGGTCTTTTTACTTTTTTCAAATGTAAATTTCCCACATAACTATTGACTTATCACATTTAGGTTTGTAAAGAAAGCTACAAGAGTCTTGAATATGTGCAGGATCAGAATCTGTATTTATTTTGTTTTAAATTAACATTTAGATTATTTAGTTTCATTAAATGCCTCTTACAGTAAATTCAGGCTAGTGAAGCAGGTCATTTCCCAGCATGCCCTTAGCAGTCGACAGCCTTGATTAATCTCTCATTACAGTTCGTATTGTAAGGTAAGAATCGCGCTGATTAGAGTAACGATTTCTTTTTGTCTCTCTGCCTCTTGTCCAGATCGTCACCATGGTACCCCCATGCTGCTGGAAGGCGTTCGCTGCATCGGTCCGGAGCTCGAGTACGACTCTGAGCAGAGTGACTGGCAGGGATTTGACTAAATGTCAGCCTTCTGTTCCCAGTTGTTTTACACATCCACAAACGCCTACAGAAGTTCACACACCTGCCATCTTCACAGATAGAAAAAGAAACAGAAACCTCCTGAGCTGCCCGCCAATACACACACACACACACACACACACACTATTAGTGCCACGGGCTGTGCAGCTTTTCCACCTCTGGTGTGATTCACTGTTCACTGGACCTCAGAAATGGTTTTCATCCTGAGACGTGAAAAACATTCCTCAGCTCTGACCTTCACTCTGAAGGAACATGTAATTAAGTCCTCTTGCTTTTCTGTCTTCAACTGTTGTGCTTTCCTTGTTCATCCGTTAGAGGGCAGCGTCTGCCTGTAAATCAGCACAGCCTCACAACTACTTGTGGTTCAGTTTTAGTCTTTTTCTGATGTGCAAAGCCCGCCTGGATTCATAGAGTTAGGAGTAAACAAGGGCTCATTTACGACTTCAAAAGCTTGACCCTAAATTAAGGCTCTAATCTGCGCAATTCAGGGAGGACGAGAGCGAATTAGGAACATTGTTTAACATGCAATACCTCTGTGTGACTATCAGGGGTGCTAAAGAACTCCGCATGCGTTACTGCTCCAATCTCAAGGCCATCTTTTACCAGTTGTGCTGCAGTGTTCTCTATTTAAAGGAAGACCTAAATATAAAATGTGTCTGCATCTTCAGTGTTCATGTTAAACCCATCTCAGCAGGTATACCTAATGTTTCTGTTGTATTTGAACCAACCTGCCCCAAACATTTCACTTTCCCCAGTCTGCCTTTCAAAATAAAACATAGGCTTGTTTCAGTAGGTGAGGAATGAATGTACAGCTGCCACACTGGAGGGAGGGGAAAGTGATGCTTCAGTACCTGCTCTCCTGCTATCTGGCACTGATCTGCTGACATGTGTCAGGATTTTCTAAGCTGGTTTTCACTCTGTGTGATAGGTGTGTGTACTTTAAAAGCTCCTTCTCGTTCTTTTTTGGGGTCCTTAGGACCAAGTAAAGCGCTATACAAATACAGACCATTTACCATTTAAGAGGAGCTGACATCAAAATCTGACGTTTACCTCTCGTGTTTTAAGTCTCGTCTTTTCTTCTTCTTCTTCTTTTTGTTGTTGTTGCTGAGCTACAGATGCTGTTGACTCACCAGTTTTCCCCAAATTAAAAACAAATGTGTAACCAAATATTCGGTGTACGTGTGCATAGCCTGTAGTTGTTTTAAGGGTGTTAAACTGGGGTGAAAGAATTGGCTGATGAATTTGTTTAAATATTGTTGTTATATTATTATCGAATAATCATTTTAAAAACATTTTCATTATTTTATCCCAAACTTTTCCCTGGACCAACATCTCCTGCCCATGTGTAGACCCTTAAAGCAGTGCTTTAACACACACTGACCACCATCCTTTGGTATTTAAGTCTCTGAGGGGCTTTTTCCTTTCAGCCATTCAAGCTCCAATCTCTTGCTTTAATCCATGAAGCCTTCAGAAAAGTGCCTTTCATCGCCACATCCCGTTTGTCTCTTAACTCCCCGTTGTTCATCCGTCTGCATCCTGTCACCCGAGCAGTTTTCAGGTTTAGCCAGTGTTAGTCCGAGCCACCCAGGACTCAAACATCTGGGGTCATAAACCGGAAGCACCTAAACTTTGGAAGTTTGCAGGTTTCAAACCACTACTTCCACCACCTCTCTGTCCCAGCGCCGTCTTCACAGTGCAGCTGCAGATCAGAGGGAGCTCTGCTAACTTAAATTTGTGCTTAAAAGATCAAGTGCCATGATCTGGCTGCACTGCCGTCTCTTTATAATCTCCTCTGAAAGAAGTCCTAACATCTCCTTCCTGCTGGTTAATGTTCATGTTTTTGTTGTTACTCGTTCTGTTGTTGGTTGCATTCAGCCTTAAAGAATTCAATTTAGCGTGTAATTTTTTTTCTTATTATTAGACCACGCGCAGTGGGTATAGTAAAGATTGGATAGATTATTTTGATGTTTGTTTGTGCACGATAGGTCAGAGATCCATCTTAGTGTAAAGCTGAAGTGCTCGATAGGTTTCAGGAATGTAGCAGTTTATTTGTTGCTCCCGGTATGTTTGATTTGTATTTTTAATGTTGAAAATGAATTAAAAAAAAATGTATATGTTTGAGTCTGGCTGCTCTTTGTGTCCGCTGTCAGTGCATTTCAAGGATGCTTGGTGGCAGTCTCCACTGTCACTGCACAACAGATATCCTGCAGAAAGTCTATTCAGTCTTTTACACAAAGTATTTCTTTATTTGACTTCAGTTCAGTGGATAGGAAAAAAAAAAAGTTTTTTACCCTCTAAAAAATTTAGATGAATTGTGAAGTCTTCACTTGATTTAGGGTTACTTTATGTTCTCGACATTACAGGATCTTTGTGGAGAAAAGTTTCGCATGAGACTGAACACAAAATGTACTTGTAACCGGTTCATGGAAGCTTTACAAGAATTCAGTTCATGTTTCTGTCCAACACACAAACCTCATGACATCCTCCTCTTAGTCAGATTTAGTGATTTACTGTAAATGTCCCAAACAGTACAGACTACACTCCTTTTCTTTTTCTTGGATCATGATCTAGAATTATAATAATATTTTTGTCTGTGTTCAATTATAATTTTAATTGAATACATGGGATTACAAAGGTTGAAGAAAAAGTCTCATCCACCTCATATTTCCATATATGTCTGTCAGGACTCAGAATCAGAGAAACTTTATTAATCCTAGAGCAGCATGCACCCACACAACAGACAACACAGCAATCCTATTAAATGAAGTGTAGAAGTAGAAATATAAATAATAAAAATATATATATTTTTAGAGAGAGACTTTATCTCAACATCTACAGGCAGGCTGTGCACACACAACAACAACAACAAAAGTTCTCATTGTGTTCAGGTTTAGTTGTTTAACAACCTGCAGGCCTGCGTCAAAATTATAACCGGGACGATGTGCCATTACTCCCGATTCTTGAGTTTACGCTCCGCTTTAAAACTTCCACACTGGAATTTCTCTTATAAATAAATCAATAAATCAAAGCGGACGCAGCACCGTGAGAAAGCAGGAGAGGATGTTGTGGATTCTCTCCTTTATTCCTCTCCGGCTCGTTTCCAAACATTATCTAACCAATCTTAAATAACCGCCGCTCTTGCAACTGCGTAATGTCGCAGTTTCAAAGGTCGCAACCCTCCCACAAACGTCCACACAACACCAAACTGACGCATTTCTAATTTGCTTACGTTTGACCTTCAGATTTGTTTTCTTCTCATCAGTTGATGGGCGGCTTCGGGGACAAAAACAAAGAAAAAAAAAGTTTGAAGAAAGTCCGCAGTGTTCAGATCACAGAGGTCTCTGCGCTCCTGGGACCCTCTGTAGTCCTGAACTAAACCCGGATTCTCCAGCCCCGATGCTGCCGCATCAAACTAAAAATCATTTTAAAAAGAAAAAAAGAAGGACAAACAGCCGTTTGACCTAAGACTGAGATCACAGCTCGCTTTTAACTTTTTCTTTCTCTGAAAAAAAAAGTAGTCTGGGGGGAAAATGCAGAGCTGCACGGATCTGCATTTAAACTAATAACCTTGTGATTTTCTACTTTCTTGTTTTCTTTGTCATTTGAGACTCCTCCTGTTGTTAAAGTGAACTCATGTCTTTGAATAATGACGTTCACAAAAGCAGGAGTCAGTAGCTCTTTAAATACTCGGTGAGGAGACAGAAGCACAACTAACATAACTTTAGTAGTTTTCATATGTGGTCACGTTTGGACCAGTGTAAGCAGCAGCGGTGTTTGGATCCCGTGGAAGAAACCAAAAGGCAACATGTATGAGGACACCAGACAAGCGCTCTGAATTATCACATTGATAATCTTCTGTGTGTTTCTAATAAATGCTGTAAAACTCTAATAATAATAATAATTTAAATTCATTATTAGTTAAACTCATTTAATTTCAAGTGAAATTCTAATTTAAAACATTACCACAACGATAGTGTAGTTTGTGTAACTTTGAAGTGTGGCGTTATATTCAAAAGTTTTCCTTCCGTTTAAAAAAAATATTGATTTTTCTTCTTTCTTTTCTTTTTGTTGTTGCAGATTTTAAACGGGAGAAACTGAATCTAAAATTGAAATTTGTGTATTTCTCATCCTTATTATTATATTCAGTAGTCCACGGGCAAAAAAATAAATAAAATAAGAAGATTTTAGAGCAGTAATCGCGCATTTCAACACCAACACGAAATCATATTTATAAAAAGGTACATTTCGTTCAAACAGTTTGACCTTAGAGCCACACAGAAGGCTACTTTGTCTACAGAGCGTCACTCCACAGGTTTTATTTGGCGGGTCTTTTCCTCCCGGGACTGAACCTGGGATTTTTTTGTGTAAACCACCACACTGTGGACCACTTGTTAAAGTTAGTTTCCTCCACTTTGTACGCAAAAACTTTGTAGAGAAACCTTCAACGGGCCAGAGCTCCTCTGCGTCCGTTTTAACGAGCAGCAGCATTCACACACACCGCACGCGCACATTTACCGAACAAACAGGAACTCCGTGGAGGCTCGTGTGTGACATCTAACGCACTTTGTTTGTGTTTTATTTTGTTTGTTTGTTTTAAAAGAGTTTCTAAGAGGCTCGTGCAGCCTTTTCTGTCCTCGTTTGAAATCTTCCAGTGGGAGACTTTTCCCCTTTAAATTGTGATAAAAACTTCACTTGTTTTTTATATTCACATAGCTGTGTTTGGCATGGCTCCACAGAGGCAACACTCAGGTTTGCTCATTAAATGAAGTTAAAGTGAAAACTCTAACAATTCTAATAAAAATCGTTACATGGATTCTTACACGTGGACATGTTTGCGCAGAGCTTGTGTGAGATGTGTGCCCTCCCACTGACCTCCGGGATTACAGTAATCTCTGTTGATTGATCTGATTGATCAGATTCATCTCCACGAGGCCGCAATCCGCACACGGGGTGGCGGTGGTGGTGGGGGCGCAGATGAGGCAGTCGGTGAATGGTGCAAATAAAGCGTTTTTTTCTTTTGGCCTTTGGGCACGAGCTTTTCCAAACAGTGCGCAGGTCTGGGTGGGCTGTAAACACCGGTATCATGTGACGCAGAATATGCGCTTTGATTTAATGTAAGTGAGATTTCAGGAGATTAAATTTGGATCTCACCATGATGATACTAAAAAACAAAAGTGGGGGAAATTTGTTGTTGTTGTTGTTGTTGTTGTTTTTTCAGGATAAACCTGAACTCAGATCAGCACAGCATAAGGAAAAAAACTTTCTAAAAAAAGATTATTGTTATTATTATGCATTAGTTTATACTTCCAATGCGATAGCGACATTTAATGAATAGTGACGAGTGCAGACTATAAAATGAAGCGCAAAAGGAAAGTTTAAGAAAGTCAGTATGTTGCAAAAAAAACAAACATCTTAACTGAAATTACGAATGAGGGCACTTAGAATAAAAACATTACACAGAACCACTTCGGTATTAAACGCGTGTAAATTGATGCTGTATTAACATATAAAAAGCATCCAAGTGTTTCTTAAATGTACACCAGCATTTAAGTGCTTCCCTATATCGCCACAGTAAATGTTTTTGATATGAAGCATTTAAGGTGAAACAAAACACTGTATCTCCTGTTTGTTTTGGGGCATCTTTTGAAGAGGACCGATCTGTTTACTATTGCACAAATTCAGCCGTGTCTTTTAATTTCATGCAACCACTGTTTGTGCACGTTCACTGTTTATTAACAACACAGGGTTGTCCCCGTCTTGATCTCTCTATCATGCATGTGTCCATCCATCTAACGCTCTCTAAAAAGCCTAAACAAGCAGGTGTGTCAGTCGGCAGCCAGGCCTGAATGGAAGTACTGGGGTACAATTAGGCATCAAATGTAGCAGCCAATAAATAAATAAATAATCTGTACTTGTTAACATATTAGAAACATGAAAATGTTTCCTAAAAACACCCAAAGAAATCAAGCTATGAGGAGTCTTCAGAAAATTGAATATGGAGGGAAAAATCTGTTTTTTGGAGGGCAAAAACATTGGAGACAACGAGGAAGAAGGTGTGTGTGTGTGTGTGTGTGTGTGTGTGTGTGTGTGTGTGTGTGTGTGTGTGTCGCTGTGCAGCAGCAGCAATCAGTCCCCTCTTGTCTCTCCGCAGAGTGCAGCGTCTGATTGACAGTTTCTATTCATACTCTGTGAGATTAGGCCAGCTGAAAGGAGTAACGACCCATGGCTGTGCGCAGTAATTACGGCTTCGGATAAGAAAAATAAGAAAAAACACACACGGCAAAACTATAATTATATAATCCCATTCAAAATGCCCCCCTTTTTCCGCGCTGTTTTCAGACACGTTTCACCTGTAAAGAGGAAATTCCATCCAGTGTTTCAGTTGCGCCTGCGACTGAAATTATCTCACAATCACAACAAACTACAGGCTGCACCATCAACATCAAGCTGGCAGAAGAAAATAGACCGGTGAAAAGATGACTTCGCGCATATACAGTGGCGCTGGCAATGAGCCGCTTTATCTCCAATGGAAAACAAATTGTAACCTCACTTTGTGCTGCTTCATCTCAGTGCTTGTGACAGATTTGTGTGTTAACAGCGTGCAGTGTGCTTACCATCCATATCATAAACAAAAGACCAGACAATTCTGTGCAGGCTAAGGGGGTGGACAAAATAACCGGAACGCCTATTCAGACAGTTGGTTTAACTCTTTGGTCATTTTCAGAGTGGAGATTGTGACACTATGGCACCGGATTAAGTTTTCAAAACACATGTTTTGCTGCTGTTGCATCCATCCTCAGGATACAGCTGCTTTTGGCTGGAAGCTAAAAATCCAATCTCTGAACTAAAGCTATGCAGATAAAATATTTTGTAGATACCACACATTTAAAAAATACATGTATTTTATTTATTTATTTAGCTATGAGCTTTGTTTTTTATTTACTTTTTTTTTCTTTACAAAATTATGGCCTCATCACAACAACATTCAGGGGCACAACAACTTTCTCAGAAAAAAATCCAACTCAGTTTTTGAGGTTCTGCGTATTGAAGCGACTCTGTCCTCAACGCACAGCACAGTCTAGTAATATAGAAATTTATTTAATGGCCCCAAATCAT